GTGCCCCGTTGGGTGAGCCCCGTTTTTTTTTTTTTTTTTTTTTTTTTTTTTTTTTTTTTCTGTCAGGGATGGTATTACTTTCATGGTTGTATTTGTTTGTTTCTTTTCTTAATCCAGTTTCTATTTTAGTAACTATACATTTTTACTTGCAGATAAATCTGTGTCTTTTTGGAAGAGACAATCTCTAAAAAAGAGAGGATAACTGAGCTTTAATACTTTCTCTGTTCTCAGCAAGTTTTCTTTATGAGAGGCTGAGAGAAGGCCTAGTTAAGGGCAAAGGGAGACGTGTTCTAGTTAAGAATCGGTGAAAACAGGGATAGCCAAATGACCTGATGGTTACAGCTGGATCCTACATGTGTAACTGCATGGTGTGAGTCCTAGACCCAGTGGTGTGTGCATGTGTGCACCAAACCCTGACAGCATGACGAGATGGAGAGAAGGGATTGCTGTTTGACCATGCCTTATGGGGGTATGCCTTCTTCTTCTCCCTCTTTCTGGTGAGCATATGTGCCCTCTGGCAAATTAAAAATAAATAGAAGTCCAAATTTTCAGAATTGGTGCAGACAGAAGCCATGAATACTTCAAGTGAAAGAATTGGCAGACAGGGCTCTCGCAGTCAGCTGAAGTTGTGCTTTGTTCATGCCTGGATTGGTGCTTGGTAACTGAAGAGGAAGAAGAGGCAGCACTGCCCTCTCAATGGCCTCTTAAGGGAGTGCTGAAAACCAGTCTGGGAGAACATGGCTTGGTCTTCAAAATAAGATGGGTTCTTGGGGATGGAGGTCAGGTGTCCTTAGTGTTCCAAGCAGAGACCCCTGGGGATTGGAGGACAGAGTGATCCTGAGATGGGTTGGAGTGACCTGGGAGAACTGGGAAGCTGGACACTGTTTTTTTTTTTTTTTAACAAGGAACAAGAGAGAAATTGTTTGATCTCTCAAAGTACTGAAATGCTTTATTCATGTCTTTGGAGATGGAATTTCTTTCTTTCTTTCTTTCTGTCTGTCTTTCTTTCCTTTTTTTTTTTTTTGGAGAGGTTTTTGCTATAGGGCACTCACCAGACAGACGGGGAGAGACAGAGAGACAGAAAGCGAGAAATCACCCCCGAGGGGGGATGGCCACACTGCAATCCCTTCTCCTCCATTCTCCTCTCGGGATCTTGGGCACGCACGTACACGCACGTACCCGGCATGAGTTTAAGCCGCCAGGTCCGGGACTCGAACTGCTGTCGACTACATGGGAGTCCAGTGCCATAGCCATTATGCTAACTGCTGGTCCCGAGATGGAATTTCTTATAAGTGATGAATATTGTTAGCTCTTTTATGGTTTCATGCTGCACCTTGACCTTTATTTCAGACATCTATCAAATGTAAAACATAGTTTCTCTCACACTTTGTACCCCTTAAAAGAGAGTTCCCCAGCTCTGCCTCTATTTAAGAATTGTCAGGTTTTTTTTTTGTTTGTTTGTTTTTAACTATACACATTCCTGGGCTCCACTTCAGACCTGCTAGAATTATTGGGTCATTGGAAAAATCATGACATATTTTTCTTTGTTTTTCTATACAAAAATGCATCTTTTTTTCTGATAACCCAATACAACTTCCAGGAACGGGACTAGGACATCAGTGTGTTTAAAAATCCCACAGGTGAGAGCCGACAGGTGCATAGTGGTTACAGCACTAGACTCCCACATGGCCAACAAGTGTTTGAGTCCTGGGCCTCATGGCTTGAAAATTACGCTGGGTGCATATGCTTGCATGCCCAAAATCCTAGGAGGAGAATGGATTGCAGCATGGCCATACCCTCTGGGGGGTAATTTCTCACTTTCTCTCTGCCTCTTGCCTGCAAGTGCCTGTGCCGTATGGCAAAAACCTTTAAAAATAGTAGTAATCCCACAGGTGAATCACTGCTTTAGGGTTTTATTTCAATTTCTTTGAAATTTCTTGAATGCATAGTAACAGTAAAGGAGTAGCTGAAAAATACTGGTTGCATGCTAGGTTTTCCTTTTCCTCCTAGGTTCTGAGCTGTGGTATATTAAAATGTCATTAGCTGTAGATTTTTTTAATAGAAAATTTAGGCCTAGTTTTATTATTTTTCTTGAATGGTCTTTGGGAATTTGCCCAAGCCTGAACTGTAGTATCTATTCTAGATTATGAATGTCATCTTTGAGCTTTCGTATTTTTGTTATTATGTAATTGAGGCAGTACACTCAAGGGAGTATAATGACCTTTATTAAGCTTGCTGTGAATGTATTTTATGTTAGCAGGGGTCCTCTTTCACCACAGGAAGTAGAATATTGGATCTTAATTGGAGAATCAAGTAGAAAACACCCTGCTATTCACTGTAAAAGGTATGTTCACTTATGTTTTTTTTTTTCCTTTAATTGAGGTAAGATTTAGAAACAGTAAAATGCACAGATTTTAATTATATAATTAGATGAGGTTGTACACCCCTGTGTAATCACCACTATAATCAAGGTGTGGTACCTTTTCATTACTTTAGAAAGTACTCTCATTCCATCAATCCTCAAACAGACTCTCTCTGTTTTGAATTCTGTCACCACAGACTTGCTCTGCTTGTTCTTGAATCGCACGTACATAGAATCATACACTATTCTGTTGTGTCTGCGTCTTCATTTAAGTAACAGTTAATATTCTTCCACTGTGTCATGTGCATCGGTAGCTTATTCCTTCTTTATTGCTGACCAGTGTTCTGTTGGATGAGTATGCCATAATTTGTGATCTGTTTTCCTATTGATGGGCACTTGGATTGTTTTGAGGTTTGATCTGTCGTGAATAAAACTGTAAGAAACATTCAGGTAAAAATCTTTTTTAAAAGATTGTTTTGAGGTTTGATCTGTCGTGAATAACACTGTAAGAAAGATTCAGGTAAAAATCTTTTTTAAAAATTTATTTAACAGTTTTATTGAGATATAATTTACATACTATAAAGTTCAATCTTATAAAATGTGTGACTCAGTGATCTTAGTGTGTAGGTAGAGTTGGGCACCAGTTACTAAAATTTAATTTCAGAATATTTTCACTATCTCAGAAAGAAACACCATATGCAATTAGTGGTCACTTCTTATTTTCCCGGCCTCTGGCAACCACTTACTGTCTCTATCGATTTGCCTATTTTGTACATTTCATACAAATATAGTCATAAATACGGGGCATTTGTATTGACTTCTTTCATTTAATATGTTTTCAAGTTCATCCCTGAGCTTGATTTTTTTTTTTTTATGACTAAGTAATTTTTCATTGTATGGATATACCACAATTTGCTGGATGAGTTTTGTTGAAGCTATATGTTTTGTTTCTCATTGGTAGACACACGTAGAAGTAGAATTTCTGATTGATAGGATAAATGCATATTTAAGAAGCTGCGAGAAAACCTTCAAAAATAGTTGTACCCTTCTGATAAACAGAAATTTTGATAAACAGTCTTATGATAAACAAATGTTCTTAATTTTTATTAAATCCATTTTTTCAATTTTATTCTTTTATCATTAGTGGTTTTTTCTTGGTACCTCGTAAAGAAATTTTTTCCAGGTCCAGCAGGTGGCATGGTGATTAAGGTGCTGGACACTTCCACATGGTCAACCACAGTGCGAGTCCTGGGCCTGGTGGCTTGCTTCTCACTTTCCCTCTCTTTCTCTGTGTCTCTCTCTGATCAAATTAAAATAAGTGAATGAATAAATAAAATTAAATGATACTTTTAAGAAAAGAACTTTTTTCCACTGAAAGACTTCTAAAATAACCTCCTATTTTCTTTTCGAAGCATTAGCATTTCATCTTTTAGATTTGTGATCCATTTAAATTAATTTTTGCTTGTGGTATGAAGTAAAGGTCAATTTTGATTTTTTCCCAGGGTTTATCCAGTTATTCTAGCACCTTTTGTTTGCAAAGATTTCCCTTTTCTCATTTAATTTCCTTGCTGTCTCTGCTGGAAACGAATTGACCATTTATGTGTAGTTTATTTCTGAACTCTGTGTCACTGCTCTATTTGCCTATTCTTTCACCAGTTTCACACTCAATTGTTGTAATGTAGACTAAATCCTGGAATTAGGTTGCACAAGTCCTCTAATTGTTCTTCTTCCTTAAGATTGTTAGACTCTCCTCAGAAATTTGGTAAAAAGACTATCAGTTTATGCTACAAAAATTGATGAGACTTCAATTCAGGTAGAAGCTATAGAATTCATAATTTAGTTTGGAGGATTGAATCATAAAATCTTACAATTCATGAACATAGAATGTAGCTGCACTTAATTAAAGCTTTCATTTCTCTTGGCAATGTTGTAATTTATGTTTTAGAATAATCTTATGTGTGTTTCATTAAAGTCTTTTCTAATGTGTTATATTTTTGATGCTATTGTAAATCGATTATTTAAGAAGTTTATTTTCTGGTTGTACACAAAAATAAAATAGATTTTTCTATGTAAACCTTGAATCTTATATATTCGCCAAATGTACTTACTATTCTAGTAAATATTTTGTAATTCCCTTGGATTTTCTGCACAGTCTTGTTTCATAATAAATACAAGATAACCTTTAATTCTCTTGAAAATCAACTCTAGTATAATTAAAATGGAAATATGGCATGTTGCTGTATTAGGCTACAGAATATTGTCCAACATGTTGATATGTATTTATTTATTTCATAGGAAAATAATCAATTTTAAACTGAGAACCTTGGTAATAGTTGCACCAACAATGGCCAAAAACAAGTTATTAAAGCTTAGTAGATGGACTAATACTGAGATAAGAGAATTATTACCAAATATTGCCATGATAATAATATAGCAACTTGTTCCCGTGAATAGTTTTATTTTAATGGTACTTTGGTAGTCTGGACCTAAAGAAAATTGTGCTTTATCCTCCTTCTTAACTATAGATGGGCAGATATTGTTACTGATCTAAACACTCAAAATCCAGAATATCTTGATATTCGGCACTTAGAGAGGGGTCTGCAATATCGGAAAACAAAGAAGGTAAGCCTTGCATTTGAAGGTACACCCTAGCCTGTCAAAATGTACATTCTACATAACCCTCATTAGGTTGTAAATAACAGAAACTCAGTTTAGGCCATCTTAGATGAAAAAGAGAAAATTATTTTAAGAACACAGGAGTATCTTTGAAACCCATGGGCATGGAGTACAGCCTAGAGTCCCAAGGGGATGGCACCAGGTACGCCAGCAGGGGCTGAGTAACTAGTAATCTCTGGCTCTTGGAGGTTCTCTGTTGTTCTTACCTCTCCTTTTGTGTGATAGTTCTTGAAAAATCATTATCTTTTAAATTATGCCTCTCTTTTAGTCTAGACTTTAGTCTTGACTTGTCTTGGGTCCAGTTCCATAGTCTTTGCCCAGTTTGGGTCACATTTACTGGCCATGGGGCAGAGCCATGTGTTTAAACGAGTGAAACATTTTCAGAGTAAGGTAGATACTGTGGATTGAGTAGATATTCCATGGATATAATCTACTAATATAAGGATATACGAACTGTAGGACAGAAAGGAAGAGGATGATCTTAATGTTTGAATTGGGCAGATAGGGAAGATACCGGCGTGTTGAGGGTAAGTGATAGAAAGGCATATGGGGGTGTTTTTTTTTGGCTTCTGTGGGCATGGTTATATTTTGTAAAGGCAGCAGTCAGGAAGGCTGCAGAATAATGTATGCTGATGATGTCTGAAAGGCAAAGTACTGTTTTGAAGCAGGTGAGGGAGAAATAAGAAAAGAGGAAGTGAGGAGTTCATAAAGGCCCACAAATTAGTATAATTTCCATTTGTTATTTTCAACCAACTTTTTTTTTTTTTTCTTCACAGGTTGGCGGAAATTTGCATTGCATCATAGCATTCCAGAGATTAAATTGGCAAAGATTTGGCATTTGGAATTTTCCATTTGGAGCTATTAGACAAGAATCACAACCTCCAACACATGCCCAGGGAATTGCTAAATCTGAGAGTGAAGACAATATCTCCAAGAAACACCATGGGCGTCTGGGCCGGTCTTTCAGTGCTAGTTTCCATCAGGATTCGGCATCATGGAAAAAGATGTCTAGTATCCATGAGCGAAGGAACAGTGGCTACCAGGGTTACAGCGATTATGATGGAAATGATTGACTATGCTGGGTACTGAACAACTGGTGTCATACATTCAGCTGTTAGCTACAAGACTGTATTAAGACAGTGGAAGATTTTAGTAAGGCTCTACTTAATATGAACAGATCTTGTGGAACAAAACATAACCTTGTAGTTCTCCATTAAATAAGCTTGTATATGATTACATTGGGTGATTTTAGATATATAAGAAGATAAGCACAGATAATTGTCCTTTTGAAGTTAAGAGTAAATGAACAGTCTGGAAAGAAAGTTTCACAAAATCCAATGAAATTACAGCTGCTATCTAAATAAGACAAACAAATTTACTCAGTAGCACCAAGATTTGAAATACTTAAGCATGAAGTGATTTCTTATAACTTGGTCCTTAGACATTTGTTACAAATCGTTTTCTTTCTAGGATCAAGTATGTAAGGCACTGTTTGCCCTTCGTTAAAAAAAAAAAAAAATTGGAGTTGTCGATTTCTAGCTTTTACTCATGGTTAAAGCTTATTTTAAAAATATTTAGTTAATCTAGTAGTTCTTTCACTTGTAGCAGTATCTTGCCTGCCTCGTTTATTTCCTGGTTAATGTTCTCAGGATTTTCAACGAAGAGGCAAGAGAGAAAAGAATAAAAAACGAAACTTTTCTATTGGTGCAAATGGGTGGCTTAGTACATTGACTCAGTTATTCTTGACTTCCTTGATTTGATATATTACTGTCAAATATTGTCGAGAACTTTAGGTCTTGAAAGACTTGTAAATCTAGGATTAACTTGTTTTAGAGATAGAGTAAAAGTATAGGTGGCAAATGAAGTTTCTATATCCAAGGTAACTTACAAAATGAAATCTTAGACTAATTGATTGCTCCCTCAATATGGAGTCATATGTTGGTAACAGCGTTGAAGATGCATTATTAGTTCCTAGTCACTCCGAGGACAGTGATCCTTAGTCCAAACTCAGCACTGTGTCTTTTTTAAAACCACTTAGACAATTAGCTGTTTGAAGTGTTAAATACTTCAGAAGTGTGGATTTCATCTGTTTGAGCACCTCTCTAGCTGCTGTTAATTTTCCTTCTGCTGCCAACCTGTGACTCACAACTGAGAGCTCTTCTTCTTTCATTTCAGGGTCATGGTCCAGGACTCGAGTCAGTAACTTGGTGATTTCAGGTGCTGAATATGTTGGTAACCATATCGCAATACACCTCAAGGAGAGAGTTTAGATTTTTATTTTTAAAATATTTTAGTTTTTTTCTCTTGAATTTTATATCCATTTATCAACTCATACATGTTTAGCCTACAGAGAGGGATATATATTATGAAATGGTCATTTTTCTGAACAGAATATTTTGCTTGAAATGCAAAAGAGTGAGAGATTTGTAGGTTGTTGATTTTGTTACTTCATACTGGAACTTTTAAAAGTTTTCATCAAATAAACTTTTGTTTTCTACTTTTAATACTTGGCTTTTTAACCTTTGTTTTAGGTAGGCAGTACCTACCCTTGTAACTTTGTTTGAAGTGCATAATTTGTCAGTTCTGCCTAAATGTTATAAGAAACCATTTATATGTATAAGAAACCATTTTCAATCTTTTATCGTCAATGAAACAGTATGCATTATGATGATTACCATTTTAGATTTCTGTAAAGACTTTACAATAGGAAATGGAAAATTTGATTTCTATATTAGCTTGAACCAAATGAAGTTGCCATTTTTGTAGATCACACATGGTCGAATATGAACAGTTTCCTATAGCTCAACCAGATATTTCAGAGAAGACACAGGTAGTGTTATTGGGCTGAGAAGCTGGACTGGATTGTGTGAAATACTTGGTTCTTTGAGTCCAGCCTCCACAGTTAGAGACCTGCCCTGGGAAGCAGAATGATGCCACAAACATGAGTAAAGTAGAAAAAAAAGTTTTTTAATAGAAAAGTTTTTTAACAGAAAAAAATAAAACACTGCATGCCAAAAAGACATGTGGGTGAGCAGCTGAGGACAACTGCAGTGGGATCTGATCATGAACCTCTAGGAGGGGAGGTCTGTCATTATGGCCAGTTCCTTTGTTTGAATTCATGGGCTTTGTGGTGCTTGTGTACTTCTCACCAGGTAAGGGAATTTAATTGCCCAGTTACACATGCCCAGTGCAGACTTCGAAAGGATGGGCATACACATAGTGATGGTTTTATCCATATTATTGGGATGTCTGAAAAGTCACAGTGAATTTTTTGCATAGAAAAACAAAAAACTGGGACCAGCAGTTAGCGTAATGGCTATGTCGCTGGACTCCCACGTAGCTGACCGCGGTTTGCGTTCCAGACCCGGTGGCTTAAAACTCATGCCAGGCGCGTGTGCATGCGTGCTCAGGGTCCCGAGAGGAGAATGGAGGAAAAGGGATTGTGGCGTGGCCATCCTCCCTGGGGGGTGATCTCTCGCTTTCTGTCTCTCTGTCTCTCTGTCTCTGTCTGGCGAGCGCACGCACCCTATAGCAAAACCTGTTCAAGAAAAAGAAAGACAAAAAACTAAGTCATGACTTTCCCAATGGCCTAATAGTTTCTTGCCCTGAGTGAGAAGAGGATGTTGGCCAATACACCCTTGAAAATTTCTGTGTGCATATGTGGCACTTTGGGAAGGATATAGTAACCTTCTCTAGGTTCTTTGAAGAAAGCTTAGGCGATAAAGTAGATAAACTCTTCTCTCTTGGCACCAGGGGTCTACCTGTGATCTGTGTTAACAGTGATTGATGTATTGATTGTCCCCTTTGTTGGCACATTGGGGCTTACTGCTCACAATGCCTACCTATAACAGTAGCAATATTCAAGGGAAAAGGAAAAAAATTAAATATTAAAGAATAGGGTGACTGGGAACCAGCAGTTAGCATAATGGCTATGTGGCTGGACTTCCATGTAGTCAACTGTGGTTCGCGTCCCGGACTCGGTGGCTTAAAACTCACGCTGGGTGCATGTGCGTGCATGCCCAAGATCCCGAGAGGAGAATAGAGGAGAAGGGATTGCGGCGTGACCATCCCCCCTGGGGGGTGATTTCTCGCTTTCTGTCTCTATGTCTCTCTCTGTCTGTCTGGTGAGTGCACGCGCCCTATAGCGAAAACCTCTCCACAAAAAAAAAAAAAAAAAAAGAAAAAAGAATAGGATGACACATAGGATTAGAAGCTGAGTTAATTAAGACTTCTTATTGACAACATCCAGTTTAAAAAAAAATTGCCAGAGGATATGTGCACTGTACATGAGAATGAGAGAAAGAGAGAGACCCAGAAAGAGAGGAAGTGGGAACACATGCCCTTGGGGAATGGTCATGCTGCAATCCTTTCCTCCATTTCTCCCTACTTGTGGGATTTGGGGCACATATACACAGAGGCCCAGTGTTTCTAAAGCTGCTGGATCTGGGTCTTGAACCATGCCGTTAGCCATGTGGGATCCAACTGACTTAATCACACCACACTAATTCTTTCAGCAGGGTCAAAGTGCACTGGAGAGCTTTAGACTGGAGCTTCAAGAGGTCATTTAGGCAATATTTATGGAACTTTTGCCAAGGGTGAGGGATGTAACAGTCAACAGGTTAGGCCTTGGTTTCAGTAAGTTTATAGTCTACTGTGAGGAAGAGCAAAACATGGATAGGCTGTTATATAAATGACTAAAATACAACTAGGAACAATTTCTGGGGATTATTTCATTGCATGGAGAACGGTCCAACAACCATCCGTTTTTATAGAAATCTTGATGTATGTTGGTTTATAAATTTGGCAGTTACTTAGAGCACACTAAGGCTTAGGTTTAATAAGGCCATTTTTCCAGAAACTGTAAGCAAGAATTTCTGCATACATCTTTTTGAAGATCAGTAACAATCCTGTCATATTTGATCTCCTGATCAACTCTTAGGATGTAATGAAGCTTCAAATACTGGTTCTGTACTTAGTGGCTCTATTACCTTGGGCTAGTTAAGATGACTTAATAACTAGGTATTTCATGTTAAATCACTATCTTAGAACAGCCCTAAGAAGTTGGTGTCATTCCCATTTTACTAGCAGGAAATGAGACTGTTATTGGTGAAGAAATTTGCTTAGGATTATAGAGTGTCTTAGCTTGCTAAGTCTGCATAACAAAGTTCCACAGATTGGGTGGTGTAAATAGCAGAAATTATTTTTTTCACAGTTATGGAAGGTAGAGGTCCAAGATAAAGATTTGGCAGGTTTGGTTTCTTCTTTATTTTATTTTATTTTATTTTATTTTTTTAGAGAGAGATTTTAGCTATAGGGCACATGCACTCACTGGAGAGACAGACACGGACAGACAGAAAGTAGGAGCTCACCTGTCAGGGGAGATGGCCATGCTGCAGCCCTGTATCCATTCTCCTCTAGGGATCTTGGGCACACATGCACATGCACCTGGAGTGAGTTTTACGTCGCCAGATCCGGGACTTGAACCACTATTCACTATGTGACAGTCCAGTGACGTAACCATTACTCCATCTGCTGGTCCCGGTTGGATTGCTTCTGGAGCTTCTTTCCTTGACTTGTAGATGACCAATTCTCACTGTGCTCTCATGTGCCCTTTCCTCTGTGTGAGCATCCCTGGATTGTCAGTGTATACCAAATTTCTCTTATAAGGACACTAGTCAAACTGGATCAGAGCCTACCTACCATAATTTTTTTTTTTAATTAGTCACTCTCTAAAGGTTTTATCTTCAAATACAGCCACATGCAGAGATATTGGGGATTAACATACTTTTGGAGGAGACAATTCCATCCATAATACAAGGCTATAATGTGGCTCAGGTGAGATCTGAAATAGCATTTGCCCAACCTCCAAACTAATTCTTTCAACAGGGTCAAAGTGTACTGGAGAGCTTTAGACTGGGGCTTCAAGAGGTCATTTAGGCAATATTTATGGAACTTTTGCCAAGGGTGAGGGATGTAACAGTCAACAGGTTAGGCCTTGGTTTCAGTAAGTT